AGACTTTCTTATACAAAAAGAATTTCATAAAGAGCTATAAATGCTATTCTAAATTATAGCAATGTCACATTCAGATAATAGCCAGATATGAAAAGCACTATTATCAAATACTTCATTATGGGGACTGAATATGATATAAAGATTTTTTTTTCCTGAGTCAGGTAACAAACACTATAAGCAGGACGAATTTGTAGAAATGAAATATAACAGTTTGGAGAAAGGGTTAAAGTCCTTTTTAAATATAATGGATGTGACAGAGATATTAAACATAGGGGTTTTTTTTTCCAGTCTGATGGTTTGTGGTTGAGAATGCATATTATATGCATCTGTTGAGTGTGTTGGAACCACCATGTTACTTGCAGACTGCCTAAGTCAGGAGTTCTCCTTTGGAGAAAAAATACACTCCTATTTGATTAAACCACTGAAGTTGAGTTACTCTTATAAAGAGCTAAAGTTGCAATCCTATTTTACATAATGATTCATTATATGTGCTTATAAAATATTTTCTTATTCTAAAAAAGGAAACCAACAGGAAAAAAATCTTAATTATTGGACATATATTTTCCCCCTATTTATCTATAATAAAATATAATATAATCCTAATTCTGGAGATTGCCTGAATAAGGCTAGGGATCAGTACTAAGTCTAAAGAGGAATGTATGAGGAAAAAAATGGAGATTTTCATCCTGAGAAAAGGCCTAAATATGAAAGAAGGTAACAGTTGTCCTCAAATATCTGAAGGGTTTTAAAATGTAGGGTCATTGGATTTATGTCTGGCTACAAGAAATATAATTAATACTACATATAAAAGGCTCATGGAGGCATTATGACATGTCACGTGGAAGCACTTTTAAATTCTTGTCAAGAACAGGGGCTCAGTTGGTTAAGCATCCAACTCTTGATTTCAACTCAGGTCATGATCTCACAATTCGTGAGTTTGTGCTCCACATCAGGCTCCATGCTGACAGTGCAGAGCCTGCTTGGAATTCTCTCTCTCACCCTCTCTCTCTGCCCCTCTCATGCTCTTTCTCTCTCAAAATAAGTAAAATAAACTTTAAAAACTATAGAAATAAAAATAAATAAATAAATAAATAAATAAATCCATGTCAAATATATGCAAAAATGGAATAATCAGTGTAGACTTTTTTGATGTTGCAAGTGGTCAGGCCTAGGCTGAATCACTATTTGGCAGGAGATTTTGTAATTTTATTTCCTAAATAATATAATCCAAAAGATTTAAGTAATGATTTGGGGCAGTCAAGGTTATATATGGTAAAGCAAAAACTGGAAACCAGAATAATGTGGTTTTTAAGATCTTAGTCTTTTCACTAATCCACATCATCTCCAGGAAACAATTGCAAAGGAGATTTAAATAGACTCTCTACTTCTCTCCATTGGACAGAGAGCCACTTCTTTTCATGAGTACCAACTGGGTCCCTGAGATACAATGGTGAAGGTTAAAGTAAATGTATTTGGCCATAATGGGTGCCTGGTCATCAGTGCTGCTTTTACCTCTGAAAAACTGATGTCATCACCATCTATTACGGCTTCATTAATCTCAACTACATGTTCTACATATTTTAGTATGATGATTCTACCCTGGCAAATTCAATGCACAGTCAAGGCTGAGAACTGGAAATGTGTTATTGATGGAAAGCCCATCTCCATCTTGCAGGAGGAAGATCCCACTAACATCAAATGGGGTGATGCTCTTGCTGAATATGTTTCATATTCAGCAAGTTCACTGGTGTTTTCACTACCATGGAAAAGGCTGGGGTTGCTTGAAGGGTGGAGGCAACAAGGTCATTATCTCTGTCATTTTGCTAATGCCTCCGTGTTTATCATGGGTGTGAACTATGAGAAGTATGACAACTCCCTCAAGGTTTATTGGCAATGCCTCTTGCATCACCAGCTGCTTCGCCCCTTTGGCCAAGGTTATCCATGACAACTTTCACATCATGGAGGGACTTATCACCATAATCCATGCCTTCACTGCCATTCAGAAGACCTTGGACTTCTGGGCAGCTGTGGTGTGATGGCTGAGGGGCTTCTATTGGCATCACTAAGGCTGTGGGCAAGGTCATCCCTGCACTGAATGGGAAACTCATTGGTATGATCTTCCATATCCACACCCTCAATGTGCCATTTGTGGATCTGATCTGCCTGGAGAAAGCTGTCAAATATGATGACATCAAGAGGGCTCCCTCTTGATGAAGCAGCCATCAGAGGGCCCCCTCAAGAGCACCCTGGGCTACACTGACCCGATTGTCTCCTGCAACTTTAACAGGGACAGCGACTCTTCCAACTTTGATGCTGGGGCTGGCACTGCTCCCTGTGACCACTTTGTCAAGTTCATTTCCTGGTACAACAATGAATTCAGCTACAGCATCTGGGTGGTAGACCTTGTGGTCCCATGTCCTACAAAGAATAAGAGCCCCCAGCCACAGGGAGAGGACAAGAGGAAGGGAGAAGCCCTCAGCTGCTGGAGAGTCTTTGCCCCAAGTCATCAACACATTGAGAGTCTCCTGGGCTGAAATCCATCCAAGAGCCCCTGAAGGAGGAGAGGGGCTTAAAGAGCCCTACCTTGTCATGTACCATCAATAAACTACCTAGCGAGCGAGCGAGCGAGAGAGAGGAGATTTAAATAATAGATGAGAATTTGATTAGTAGAGTTTTAAGGTGACTTCCCAGACTACAATTACACATTTCTCAAAGGAAAGGGAGAAAACAAAATTTAGAGTACTGCATTAATTAAAAATAAAGATATGTTTTGCGTTTAAGGAGCTGTTGTTTTCAGTGAAGCCTCTATGTTGTACTTACTAGGAGTCCTGGTTCGGGAACAGGAGCAGGCATTGCAAACCGCTTACTAAGTTTCCTCTTCTCTTTCCTTACATTTTGCATATTCACAATTTGCTTATCTCTGGTCTTTTGGGAAATTAAAAGGAAGGAAAGCAAATCATACTTTTTATAACAAAAAGTTAACATGCTGATTATTTATTCACTTTTGAGAGAGAGAGAGAGGACAGAGTGTGAGTGGCAGAGGGGCAGAGACAGAGGGAGACACAGAATCTGAGGGAGGCTCCAGGCTCTGAGCTGTCAGCACAGAGCCCTATGCAGGGCTCGAACCCACTGACTGCAAGATCATGACCTGAGCTGAAGTCGGACGCTCAACCCCTTAACCGACTGAGCCACCCAGGTGCCCCGTGATTATATATTTTTTAATGTCAATAAAAATATATATAAATATAATCAGGGCGTAGCTACGTAAAAGTAGGAACAAAATCCTTTTTCAAATGTGTGGTTCATAGATGAAGAAAACACGCGGAACATCCCTAGAGCTTTCAATTGAGACTGTTTACTCTCTCTCTCTCTCTCTTTTTAAGTTTATTTATTTTGAGAGGGAGAATGGAGGAGGGGCAGAGAGAGGGAGAGAGAGAGAGGGAATCCCAAGCAGGCCCTGTTGTGTCCGTGCGGAGCCTGATGAGCTCCATCTCATAAGCCATGAGATCATGACCTGAACCGAAATCAGGAGTCCAAAGCTCAACCGACTGAGCCACCCAGGTGCCCAAAACTATTTACTCTTGACTCCCATTTCACCAACTATGGGATCCCAGACTTGTGTATATATGTGTTTACTTTTATTTTAAAAGTAATGTTCACTTGGGACACTTGGCTGGTTCAGTCAGGGTTGGCTCAGTCATTTGGGTTAAGTGCCCAACCGAGCCACCCAAGCATCCCCAGAGTTATTAATTTAAACATTACCTGCTTTAAGGTGACATCTGAAGGGTGTTGATGCCTTGACCTTTCCTACATAATGTGTACAATTAGAACAAAACCATAAAAATCATAAGCAAACAGAAATATTCAGTTATTATAATGAGAAGCCTATGCTACTGTTTTTTATTTATGTATTATGCCTACTATCTCAAATTACAAGAGGCAGGATCGGAATAAGAACATTAAGGTAAAAATCAGAGTGGAGCATGGCAATAGTATCATGAGAAAGGAGAATCAGCTTTGAACGATATTAAGAGGAACACATAGCATAGAGATTTATCAGGGAAGGAAAGACATGTATGAGAAATCAGAAAATCATGTTTCTGCTGGTAGTGAGTGATTGAGGAAACATAGCAAGTGGGATGGTTTTCTGAGACACAGGGAGCTTGGCTTTACTTTGTGAGGTTCCCACATCTTCCCCTAATTTCTAAGTTGTGCTTTAAATACCTTCTGTTCCCCCTCATTTTGATCCAGCTGTTTAGCCCAGAGACCCGGAAGCATCTGAATACCGAGAAACTTATTCTGCCCCACCCCCCACCTCTGTAAGCCCCATCCCACCTCCGGGGCAAACGACTGAGGGTGCCTGCTTTCTAGTGGGCACAAAGTGAGGCTCTTCCTCCTCCTGGAGAGTCTTGCGGCCCAGGATCTAGTCTGTCTACTTCACCAGGGATTCCCAGCCCCCAGCACCAACGCGCCCACACTGGCCCTAATGGCAAGTGTCCCCAGTGCTAGGCCGGGGAAAGGGGCAGACAAGTCGGGGTGAGGGCCTTGGAGAACTCACGGGGTTGACTTGGATGGCTTCATCCCCCTTACAGCATAGGCACATGCTGCAGAGCCTCGGAGCGCCCCCTGGCAAGTGCCCTTCGTCCTCACCAGGACCGAGTAACTGAGGGGTACACCACGCGCCACCCTGGAGCCCCGCCCGCCCGCGTCACAATCCTCTCTGTCTCCCCCTGCGGGCTCCCCCCAGGGCCACTGTGGGATTAGGCCTGCTGGGTTACCACCATGGCCCGCTCTGCAAGTAGCCTTGCTCAGACGAGCACACCATACAGGATCTCCCGTCTTTTTTTGGGCCTCAACTCTGCCCTCTTTCTATGGACTTCTAACTTGGTTCCATGGCCCTTCACTTCAGCCTGTCGTCGGGTGCTCAGTTCCACCTCCTCGTTCTAACATGGCTTCCCTTGGGTCTATCTACTATCTGCCTCATCCCTGTCAACCACTGGGCTAAAGACGGGGAAATTTTGAGAATCGTCACAATTACCTAGACATCATCTCCAACTGAAAGTGGGTCTTCATCACCGCTCCCCACCTCTTTTATGTTTGCCTTGCTTTTTCTTTTTTGTACTCTTGCAGTGTTCCCTTCAAACTGTCTGTCCTCCGTTGAAATCTCTGAGCCCACTTTCCTCCAGTCAGCAGAAGCAGGGCAACTCTCCCTTCACACAGCGAGAGTGGCTAATGCTTCGATAGAGCCTCTGCTCAGCACTCTTAGATGACTGCACATATATAAGTCATCAACTCCTTACCACAACCTGAGAGAGTAAGAGCAGGGTTACTGTCCTCTGGGAAATAAGGCGTTAGTAGGTTAAACACCTTGCCCAAGGTTAGGCACAGGGACTTAAATACAGAGTCTGCGTCCGGGGCCTGTGCTCTTTGATCACTGTGCTGTGCCGCCAGTTGCTTTTAAAAGCCCAGACGGGGGCTGCCTCAATTCCTTCCCGCCTATAAGTCTGTAACCTTGTTTGTATCCACATTATCCTTTTTCCCTAGAACCCCATTAAATTGAAAAAGTTGTTGCCCTTCTTTTTGTCTCGAACAAATCTGTTCATTTTTGTTCCCATGCCATCTTTCTCTTAGAAGCCTCCTCAGAGACCTTGTTCTAGATTATTCCCTCTTCTTGTTAACCTCTCTATATTACCTGTTTTCTTTAAACAAGTAAATACAAGATGCTCAGATCATCCCCTATTTAAGCTAATAAACCCAAACCCTTTGAACGACAGCTGTGTGTAACTATTGCCCATCCCCTCTATTTACAGTAAATAATCCTAAAAGCTGCTGGATGAGTGGGATTCCCATCTCCTCTTTATGTCCAGTGCAGTATTTGGCTTACTGCAACCTGCTACCCCCATTGGTACTTGTTTCAATCAAGGTAGATCTCTGGTGATCTTTCTACTGAATCCAATGGACATTTTCTATTACACGACATTTGCTTAGAGTGAAAAACCGCAGAGATTTCTCTTGGAAGAGTTAGGCTTAGGAAAATGAAATAATCTTACTCACCCATAGTGCTCAAAACCATCAACCACTCCCTTCCTGAAACTCTCCTCTCTGGGAAGAATACAGGTTTAAAAAAAACAATGTAATCTGGGTTATGATAATGATCCAGAAATGGACTCGAAATCCTGTGATTTCTCTAATATACCATGTTGCCTCAAGAACATATGTTTTGCGTACTTACCATTACATAACTCACTGGGTCCTGGGAATACAAAGATAAATAAACTCGATTGCTGCCCTCAAGGAAAGTCAGATAAACTAGCAACAATAAAAAAGTCAAACTGTGTTGGGAGTAGTAATAAGGGCACATGTTCTGTTACTATGTTCATTTTGTGGCAGATCCTTCTTTTGATTAGTAGGGAGGAAATTCAGTGCAATCCCTTCAGGGTTTTGGTGTCTCTAATTATTGTAACCTCTTATTTCTACCCACTATTTCTAGTTCTGTCCTCATGGGCCTCATAAAACAAACTCATTCTCCTCTACATGATGATAAGGTTGGCGGAGAGGCCGAGATTGTCAGCGTCTACAGGCTCTGAGGAGGGAGCCCACAAATTGGGAATCAGACCTCTGAGGAGCGGAATATTGCCAGGCTGAACTGGTACCACTGGATGTTGGATTGGTGGGAGATCCTTCAGAGCTGGGGATCAGAGATCTCTTAGGAGACACTCTCTGGCAGGTGCTGTGAGACTTAAGGATAAGCAATAAGGCCACCTCTGCGTGTATAGAAAAGATGGACCCTGCAAGCAACTGTTGCTGGAGACCAAAGCTACTGGCAGTGAAGTGTCACTGCTGGGGTGACAGGGCAAGAGCTGAAAGACAAGAGGTTAATGTGGCACAGAGACCTTCGTGCCCCCAAATCACCTGCAGCCCTTCAATTATACGTCTTCGAGAATGGTTTCAAGTCTCCTCATTATCCAGGTTGATAATCTGTATTACGCTGCAGTTAGCCAATGTCCTGCACCAGACGCAAAGCTCAAAGTGTGGTATAAGGAAGAGTGGGAGGGCCAGTGCATTAACTTCCCAAGCTTGGGCAGTGCATTTGCATAAACATCACCTTTGCCGAAATGGATAAAATTTAACTATAAAATAAATCATGAAAACTCCTGAATACCAAATGCAAGCACAATCAATATTCCTCTTTGTTCACGTTCGATTGCTCTAGAGCTACAATTCTCAAAGTAAACTCCAGAAACTACCATTTCAAAGTGTTTATAATTTTATGTGAAAAATAAAACAGGTAAACAAGCCACCCTTTCCTGTTTATCTTTTGATCTGAAACTATTTTACAAAGTAAACGGAAGAACTTTGCCTACTTTGTGTGCTTAGGGTTTTCTTATGACTTTGTTTTTTTAAAATGAAGTTTGAGGGAGCAAATCCTTTTCAAGTCCTAAGATTCTTTAAACACTGAAAATATTTTTACGTAAGGATGTAAAAATGGGTACCAAGTTCAAATAAGTTTGGGACATTCTAGGTTAAACAAAGGTAAACACCTATCTTTACTGCAGGACTACTCAAAATGTGTAATATGCTGAAGTAATTATGAATTTCTACGAGGGTATATTATACAATGTTTCTCCAGCTTACTTGTCGGACCATCTTTTCAGTGTGCCATTCATAAGTCTCTCATATGTGGAGGATTCTATATTAAAGACAGTAGTTATTTCTGGATAACGAAGTATTGTTTTGTATTACTTTAAGTATGACATATTACTTATGTCACAAACTGACAACCCTGGGTATCAATATTTAAATCACAATTATTTTTGCATCCAATGAGATTTCTCATTTTCTGGATAAGGAACATTTGCTGATTTTTGTTTTAGATTTTAAATGGCAGTTTCTTAATGCAAGTAGGAGTGACTGTTATCGTGTTTCTATCAAACAGAATTTATAGAAAGATGTAAAGGATTCATTTACATCTTAAGAAAAAACAGCTCATCCTGTTTGATGTTTCCATAATTAGATTTTATTTTTGTAAATTTGTACCAAACAGTGCAAGTTCTTAAAGAATTAACTTGTAGGCTTTTCCACATAAATGAAACAACTGGTGCAGAAATACAGGTGGAATATCAACATTGATCTAATTTGTACCATTATTCACAGATTTTCAGTTTTGTTCATTTTCCAGGTTTACAATGGGTCATGGAATCTATTTGGGGGCATTAAGAAACTTTAATTATTTACTTTGATTTCCATGCAACTGTTTATCTTTTGATCTGCAACTATTTTACAAAGTAAACGGAAGAACTTTGCCTGCTTTGTGTGCTTAGGGTTTTCTTATGACTTTGTTTTTTTATTTTTTTTATTAAAAAACATTTTTTTAATGTT